GAGAGAGAGAGAGAGAGAGAGAGAGAGAGAGAGAGAGAGAGAGAGAGAGAGAACCTGAATGAGAGGAGAGATGGGAGCCGAGGTGAAGTGAAAGTATGATGAGAGATTTGTACGAGTGATTTGTCTTTAAAAACCTTGTCTCGGCCAGCTACCTAGCAACAAACTGTAGTTATAAAACAATTGATTTGTTTACTTTCAAATATATCCGTTATGAAAATAATAATAATAATAATTACAAATTTATCCTAAAAATACAAAAGTTTCCATTTTAAAAAAATCTTGAGGGAAATAAATAATTTTCTGAGTCTGAAAAAGTTATATTTTTATTATCTTTTAAATGTGAAATCTGACTTTTTTGCAAAGTTTATCTTTTTTATTCATGAAGATAAAAAGAGGACTTCAAATAGAAACTCTAAAAACTTGGAGAATCTTTTGAGCAATGAATGATTGGAGGATTTTTTCCATAAACATTAGTTAGTGCAACAATGATTGGTCCTTGCAGTACAATTAATTTACCAACTTTCAGTAACATAATTATTTGTCACTAATAACTTACTTGTTTTCAAGATCTGCTCATAAAAGTAAGATTCCATAAATTTATATAAAACCTAGATAAATAGAAGGATATCTACACAACCTTTAATGCATTACAACTTTTTAACTATTTTTTACAGTTTAAATATATTGGTAGTCAGGATTAAAATTTTCAATTTTAGATTAAATCTATTTATCCAATTTTTTTTTAATTAAATTTTGGTATGTTTGCTCACAAGTCACAATTGTGTTTCATTCAAAATATGTATTTTTAGAGAAAATTGTGTATTAATACATGACTTTATAAAAAATTTCAAATAAATAAACAAAGTTTAAAATTCTCATATATTAAAATCTATTTTTTTTAAAACAATAAAATTAAATCTTAAACTTTTAAACGACTTCAAAAACTTATCATAAAATTAAACTCTAAGCTTTTCGGCTATAAAAAACTACCATGATATAGTGGTTTTTGGATGACGTTTAAAGTTAACATTTTAATATACAAGTTTAACAAAATCTTGTATTTTTTTAGAAAATTTAGTTTATGTATTTGATTAGGATTTTATGATAAGTCTTTGTATTAATATGCCATTTTTGTTATTTTTATTAATTTAACAAGTTAAATTAAATCAAATTAATTTGATTAATTTTAATTTATTTTTAGCGTATCCAAACAAAAATATTTTCTTCATTGGCACCTCTCGGTATTATTTTAATTCTTAAAACTCTAACTTATATTCAAACTCTAAATAGATGAATTTGTCGAATAACAAAAAAGTTTTTTTTTTAAATAATGGGTTCTTCTATAAAATTTTTTTTAATACTAGAAATAAATCGTTTAAACAAAAATGTACTTTCAAAAAATTTGTCAACTTATAAAAAAATACATAAATTTGTCAAATTTATCTTCGAGATGGTCTCTCTCACTTTCGGTTAGGGTTCATGAATCTTATGGTTCTCGAATTTTTTTTGTTTTTATCCGAAATATCAAAATAATGAAGTTAGGGTTTAAGAAACACGAATTTTGTAGAGTTAAAGAAAAATCAAATCAGAAATTTTGTATTCCAAAAACCTATATTTCTATGTTTTTTTTTGTACTTTGTTTAATTTTCATAGTATCATTAATATCTTCATAATAAATTTTTAGACTTATGATTTATAAAAACCTATATTTTTGTGTTTTTTTACTTTGTTTCATGCTACTATGTTGGATATTAAGTAAATTTTATGTTGATTTATAGAAGCAAATATTTTGTTTTATTATATAATATTTGATTTTAAAAGAAAAATCTCATATAACTATCCAACTTTACAAAATGTGTGAAATAAATACCTAAACTTTTAATTTGATGTATGGATAAATAAAATGTTAAAATGTTCTAAATTGATATCTCAAATATTAAAATGTTCTAAATAGATACATTAACTTATGAAATCGATAACAATTCTCAATCTCAACTCGGACGAGAACGTATAAATTAGATATTAATTTCTAATATAAAAAATAAAACTCACTAATTCGATGACAATTTGCAACATCGACTTTAATGATGATGTATAAATTATATGTTAATGTCAACATAAAAAAACAAATCGAGGTTGTAAATTGCTATCAATTTCGTGAGTTGGGTATCTATGAAATATTATAACATTTGAGGTATCGATTTGAGAAAATTAAAAGTTTATATATTTATTTGGTATATTTTATAAAACTAAAGTATTTATATGCGTTTTTTTAAATAATTTTTTTTGCCAAAATAATCAATTTAACTCTTACGGTAAACTTATACGGCAACAAACTCGTTCTAATCATACTCCAACTCAACTTAATGAAATACATTAATAAAATAAATAAAAACCAAAATAAATATATATATATATATATATATACAAACATATACATAGCACATATATATACATACATATATATGTAAATGTAGATATTTATTTATATTATTCATTTGAGATATAGTCACAAGATAGAGCATGATTACGGCGAGTTTGTTGCCACATCAACTTTTTGTCATGGTTAGGTTGACAAATTTAATACCTCTTGAATTTTAAGATTTATTTACCAATTTTTTTTTAAAGCATAAATATTTTATTGTTACAAAATAAATTAATATAGGATTTGAATTGCTATATGAGAAAAATGCAGAATTTTTTGAAATTTTTTCTAATAAAAAAATGCATAAACAATTTTTTCGAGGAATTAATTGAACTAGCATTTGCCGCATTTGGAGTTATTGCTGTACTTTGAATGAAACCGCAAATAAAAGAGCAAATGAAGAAGTACAATTGAAATTTATCGTTACTATAAATTTAAGTCAATTTTATTTGGATATATAAAACCTAACAAAAAACATATAACCGTATATACCAAACAAAGTTAGATTTAAAAATAAAATAAAATAATGGAATGTGAATATAATTCAAATAAAATATAAAAATTAATTGAAAAGTTCGAAACCGAACCAGAAACCTCAGTAAGAGCAATAACATTTTATTTTAGAGAAAATAACAAAAATTCATACAAATTTGTCCAATCTACACTAATTTTTAATTTGAAAAAAAAATATAATCGAATTTAATTTAAAATGTGTCAAATATCTATATTAAATCCTAAAACTATTAGCAATTTCCTATACGACTACAAACAACGCTAAATTTCTCTGATTTCGTTAAAGGGGTAAATTGAAGGGACAAATGATATAGCAATATACATCATCAATTTCGTCATAAAAACTTGACATGCGACAAATAAAAAAACAAAATATAAATAAAAACAAAAATAAAAAATATATACACACACACACACACAACAAAAAAAAAAAACCCCAAGTGATCGCAATGTCAAGTGTTTTGTGTGGTCTCGGTGTCAGCAACAGATGAATATCAAAAGCACAAATGCAAGTAAAGTTACATCGCGAAGAACTTGGGATTACATTACAAGAACGCAAGATCAAAACACCAAATTCTACGAGTGGTAGAACAACAAGAGAGCTCTTAAAGAGTAACCAAGAATATTAACCGAGTAACGTAAAACTGAGGTTTTATGGGCGTATTTCGGAACTTGAAAACGATGGAAACGGAACACGTGATCAAAGGGTAGAGAGCCGCTAAACAATCTAAGCACCTACCGACCAGGGATTCACCAACGCATCGAGTAAATTGGTCGATGCCTTACAAATACTATGGGCACTCACCCTCGACAAACTAGTTCTCGGGGTGAGCTCTATATGTAAACCTTAAAAAGGATTTAATTGAACCTATTGTGGGGTAGGTTCTACCGATATCCAACTCTATGAATCACTTTTGCACACCCACCAAAATCCTGCAAATGAGTAACACACAAAGAAGCAGAGTGAAGTGAACGCTTCAAAAGGCATCAACGGAGGAGAAAATAGCAGCATTCAATAAAAAGAGGGTACGTGCGAACTAATTTGACTATATAATGATGTGTAAGTGTGCATGATCACGTATAACAAAGACTCTGATCGAATCTCGTAAGATGGCGGGGTTGGTGGCAAATGCAGAAAATCCAAACCGTAACTTAATTTAGTATGGTTGTAGAAAAATTACCCAAATCAAGGCCTTGAATTTTGACAGTACAAGCTTATTATGTTCCTCCAAACCAATCTAGAAATCAAATCCCAAGTTCAGATGATTCTCCTAAGCACTGTTAAACTATAGAATCCTAGCAGAAAACACAAAATGATGACTTCCTTTTCTTTTTCTTTAAGAAAATTCGTAGAGAGGCCTAAAGGTGCAGAAAGCTTTAAAACCCAAGAAGTCATGGTTTGCTCCTATTAACAACCTTAAGAAACTAACACCCATCACAAGGAAGAGAGAAAGAAGTTTACCTCTTTATACTTCCATAGCAGTCTCCATCAACTTTAGTTGTTCCATTGTAGTTGATCCAAGGTACAAGATCATGGTTGCTTTATCTAATGAACAGAAAAACTAAAAAACACAAGAAAATATAAATGCTTCCAAAAGTTTTGCGTCGTATTGAGAATTTCGAGAAAATACTTTTCTCAAGCTCGTGCTTCTCAATGAACCTTTCGGCTGTGTTATGGAAAACATAATTTTTTATTGTGAGAACTATATTTCAACAAGATTACTAAGTGATTTTCTCTCATGTAATCACAGGTATACACGGTATCACAGTTTTAGGGGATCGGAGAAAATAGATCCAAAATTTCCTTCCGCCAATGCATAGTGTCCCCGTTCTAATGACTATGCATACAACAGCGTTAGCATGTAAAACCAAATTGAACCTCTTTATAAGCTGTCTCTGAGATTGAGAAGATAACATTAACCGACCTGCAATTGGACGATGTGCTTAGGTAAGTGAACTATAAACAGGAAACTAATAATGCCTATATATAGGCAAATAGATGTAGAGCAAGCTGACCTGTAAAATGTTAAACATATGGCATTTTGTGGAATTAACAACACGGCAATGCCAGGTCAAATGAAGATTTCAATCAAACAGCGTGGAACTAAGGGATCTTTTAAAGCACATTGGTTTATAACTTGCAGATCTATTAACTACAGGACAGATTCTCGGCAGCGTCTTTTCCAGTACAGAACTTTAGGTGCATCACCATCAATTTTAAACACAATGTTCTCTACTTCCAAATCTATCTTAGTTTTGGGTTTCGTAATGAGCAGCAGATACAGAAGCTACACCTTGCATAAAGTTTTTGTCTAACACTAATCCATAAAAGATGAAGACGTGAGGTTTGCCATTCACTATATTCAGAACAAAAAAAACATTACTTCGATGTATCTAAACATATGGAAAACAATGGTTGACAGACAAGCAGGTGAACTTCACAATTAGAAAGAGACATTTGCAAGTTCACCAGGTTTAGAAACTTACTTGGGCAACAGAAATCTGAAGTAGCAAGCAAACAAGTAATACAACACCGTTTTTATGGGTTGAAGAAATTTGAGCCGCTCATACTGACAGCAATGAGCACCAGTATGCTTGTGATTACACCAAACCATAATAAAGCTAATCCTGAAATAAAGAAGCTACAGAGCTACAGAAAGAGCATGGGAACAAAATCATCTTAAGACAGAGTTTAGATATACCTCCATCATCAGAATCTTTATCAGAATTTGCAGCAACAGATTCTGAATCTGATATGCTCATATTGCTTTCAGATGCATTACCTGGATCTACAGGTAGATTTTTTGAGACTACCTGAGATCCTGAAGATACAGGTACAACACTTGAGTAGCCATTAGAAAGTTTACTGTTTGCCGCTTCTCCTGAAACTATGCCCTGAAACTCCTCACTCACTATCAGTGCAGACAGCACATCCATAAATGACTCTTGGCCTGATTCATCTGAAGAAATCTTTTCATTCCACACAAATGAGCCAACTTCTTCAGAATCAGGCAGTTCATCATCAGAAACATCGGCATCGATGTGTTTCACATCAGTTATGTCATCTTCTTCATCCTCCACATAGGCTTTGTATGTAAGCCGAAGTAGAATCTCCCCTGCAGATCCCTTCCCAAAAGAACTCCAACCGCCTTGCAAGACCACGATTCTATCTATAGGAACAGTATCTTGTAGTGATCCAAGATCAACCTGGACATACAACCAAGTAATAAGGCTATGAAGACAGTAAATTAGACATTAAGCACAGTTTTCTGCAAGCTAACCTAAGGAGGATTTTAGGGTACTACAAGGTCAAATTAATCGCCATATATGTCATCAAAGAAGGCCCAAAAACTCAACTGCAGATTCACTAAATATCCATTATATAGTTTCATGTGAAAGTTTTAGGATTTCAAGATATAAAGAACAATGGTTGAAATCTGCCATTGATATTGTATCATCAAACTCTACATGATTGTTTGTTCTGAGATTTTGTAATTTTGAAATCAAAATCATTTGAGAAGGTATATTGAGAGTAAAACTCATTAATTTTTTCTAATTCGCATGCAATGTTTAAAGTTTTAGGATTTCAAGATATAAAGAACAATGGTTGAAATTTTTTAGCAAATTTTGGATTTATCAATGTATGTTCGATCTATTTTGACGATAGTTGAAAGTTTTGAACAATTTTTTTGATGATTGTTGCGGTAGATGACGAAATGTTGCTATTAAATGAAAAATTGTAATGTAGTCGTAATCTAATCATAGTAAAATTGTAATGTTCTGAACTGTTGATTGATAAATCTATGTTAATTTTTTTTAACTAGATTATAGATGTTATAGAGGATTGTTACACAACTATTTTCAGTTCGTTATGATAACATTTGACAAAAAGAAAATAATGATGGTTTATTTGAATGGAAATGTGATGAGGATAAAAGAAAGATAATGTGTGTTTATAATAGAGCAAATAAAGACACACATGAGAAGCTTATTGAAGCTGTTCAGGGACAAATTAAAACTGATTTAGAAAGACCGAAGTTAAGCTTCGTACCCATGGTTGTCGATAGAGACCGACCAGAATATATATTAGACGATTTCGGAGTAAAATCATTCATGTTTATTAAAAGTAATGGGTGTCGAGGATGGTTATATGTAGAACGGGGTGATGATGATATATTGAACGAAGAAAACAATGGAAATCATGTTGATTCTCATAGGTGTATGGATGAAGTAAAGGCAACCTTTGAGGTTGATGGTAATGAAGGAAGAGAAATAAATTAACAAATTGAGAGAACAGAGAGAGAAGAAGGAGAACAAAATCAGGTAAAACAAGTCAGTTACGCGGATGTGGTTGAGCAAGAGATTTTACATGCAAATTTGCATGAGGATGTACGACATGAGAATGTCGTGTTTGTTGCCAGTTGTTGAAGTTATGACTGAATTAGACAATGCAGTTGTAGTAGTGTTAGATAATGTTATTGCGATTAAGTTAGGTAGTGATGTTACGAATTCAACTCCAAGACAAGGAAATTGTTGGGTTTCACTACGGACCTAGTATGCGATCATATCGGTCTAGGGTTAGTTTCTAGGTTTCACACAGCGGAAGAAGAAGGAAAGAATCCTAAAGCAAACAAACATGCAAACCCCTAAGGAACGTGTATATCACCGAGGGAATCGAATACTTACCTCTTTGCTGAAGAGCTTGAAGTCCTAACCGATTCAGGGTCTGTTTTTATCGCCAAGAGCTGAAGATACAACTCTTCCACAAGTATCCACACCTGTAGGATGAATTCCAAACGGTTTGGAACATATCTGCTAGGTTTTATGAAGAGAAATCGATATCCAAGACTTGGAATCAAATCCCGTGAAATAGAACAAAAGAAAACTATTCTTTCTTGCTCTAGAATGAGTCTAAGATGTCTGATGTATGTCTCCAGGGTTTGAGGCGGCTCCCTTATAAAGAAAGAATAGTGCCAAAACCTCGAAAATGCAAAAAAGAAAAGTTTTCCGAACGTCGAATCGACCGGTTTGGGTTCTGGAACGGTTGGTCTGGCATATTAAGTGAAACGGTCCTTTTCAGCAGTCCCTAGACCAGACCAGTTCAGCTAGTGGAACGATCGGTCTAGACGTATGGTCGGACATAGAGTAGTGCTCTAGCTGCCTGTTTTGTTCATGTTTGGATCGAATCGGTCCATCCATTAGACTATTTGATCTGGACACTTCATGGAACCAACGATGTTTTCGCATGGAATGGGCTGGATCGGATCGGTCTAACCATCTAGAACTGGTGTCCAGTTTTCAATGCTCGTTCTGTCGTTCTGTTATCATTTCTTGCATACAACTCTTCACATGTAGTACATCCCTAATGGTGTATGACCCGCCCATTTGCAGTGGCAGCGGCTTTGGAAACGTTTTCCGAACCATAAGTCATGGATAGCCTCTAGCAAAACTTCATGACCACCCACCTTGAATAGAGTTAGAGGTGGTCTAACTAAGGCAATAACAACTCGAGTTCTGATCCTTTGTGTAATATCACGATTCCCGAATAAATTATTTAATTTAATTTCAGCAATAAAATAGGGTAAATCAAGTCTAAAATATAAGATGATTGGCATAAATATGGAACTAAAGGACAAGCGGGAGTGAAACACGTCGAAAACATCGAAAAACGAAGGAAAAATGGTCTAGACCAGTCGGTCCAGAGGTAGACCGATCGGTCCAGATAAAAATGGCGAAAAGACGAAAAAACTGGTCAAGACTGGTCGGTCCAAAGTGTAGACCGATCGGTCTGCCTGTTCACGAGCCAGACCGAACGGTCCGACACTAGACCGAACGGTCTGAGAGCTGGGGAAAAATCGCCGAAAATGGTGACTTTCTTCAATTTTCGGCTGTGATTTCCTCACGACACATCAACCCCACGCGCGAACGAATGCCACCCAGATGCAGTGGACGACACCCTCTGGCCCTTCTACCCTCTCCCTAGCCCCTATGGCAGCATAAGACGTCAATTTAACCGGCTCCAACAGGTGAAGATCACCATTCTCTACCCAGAAACCGATTATTCGAAGGGAGAGAAAAAGAGACATTCAGGGGGATTTGAGACGAAACAAGCTCAGGAAATCAAAGAGGGACATCCCTAGGAGGTTCTTGGAAAGTTTCACGACCAGAGACGGCCCGTAGAGCGCACACGAGCTCGGCCAAAATCGCACAACACGAATCCGAGGTGATTGGTTTTGAGTTGGATTTATGAGATTCAATTTTTCATGATTAATGGTGTAGATTAGTGTTTCTGCAGGAATTAAGGATATAGGAATGTTAAATAATGAGTGGGTAGCAATCGGGACCGAAATCGGATCAAAATTTGGTCAAAAATGGTAAAAATTGGGCTAGATCTCGCGGGGAAGATCCCAGACCGACCGGTCCTAATGAGTGGGTAGCAATCGGGACCGAAATCGGATCAAAATTTGGTCAAAAATGGTAAAAATCGGGCTGGATCTCGCGGGGAAGGTCCAGACCGACCGGTCCAGGACTAGACTGACCGGTCTGGACCACAGACAGAACAAACGGTCTAAAATGAGATGGACCGATCGGTCCAGCAGGTCCCAGATCGGCCGGTCCAGGACTGGATCGACCGGTCTGGGCCATAGACAGAACGGACGGTCCGAAATGAGCTGGACCGACCGGTCTACACCCAGACCGATCGGTCTAGGATTAAAAACAAAGCCGGTTGATCAACACGCATAGACCGGACGGTCTGTCTCTAGACCGACCAGTCCAGGCTAAAACAAAAAGGAAAAAAACGTGGACCGAACGGACTGGCTGCAACCTCGACTCTAGGTTCAAACGGATCAAACTATATTAAGGTGGTAAGTTATAATCAAATATAAAACGATAAAAATAAGTGGGTTAAACGAATGTGAAAAAGATGGAAGTACATAAATAGAGGAATCGAATTACAAGCCGAAGTGAGTACGAAGAATAAATTCAGGAGAAAATTCGAGAATATGGAAATAAAGGATAAAGGTATGTATATGTATGCATATGATTGAATGACTAATGGACCTCGTACTTAGTACCGAGCTGCTGGGGATATAGCATTCCAGAAGGAGATGAGAAACGAATTCCGTGCATTCCAGGAGGCCAGGAACCACGGGGGGAGGACCTACCTCCACCCGCGGCAGGAGGTCAGGAGCCAATGGGGGAAGACCTACCGCCACCTCCACCTGTACCGGCCGCGATGGGGAACTACTTGCCAATCATTCGAGAGCTGCGATCCATACACACCCAACCATTCGAGGGATCACTGAATCCCGAGGCGGCTGAAGAATGGATGACGCAGATTACACGAGATTTGGAGTATGTCTAGTGCCCTCTACACCATCGCACCACGATAGCAAGTCACCATTTATTCGGACCATCTTGCCATTGGTGGACGAAGGTGACCCAAGAGATGCCAGCTGGGCATTGCTTCAGGTGGGAGGAGTTCAAGGAGGAGTTTGAACGGAAGTACTATCGACGACAAGATCAGGAACGACGCTTCTCCGCTTTCCTGAACTTGCAACAGGGTGAAATGACCGTGCGAGAATATGAAGCGGAATTCACTCGTCTACTCAACTATACGACACATCTAGTACTCCAGGAGCATATGAAGATCTAGAAGTTTGTTGCTGGATTACGACCATCGCTTCGTCGAAAGGTCACACTTCACGAGTTCCGGACGCTGGACCATTGCATCAATCAGCTAGAAAAGGCAGAAGAGGTGAAGGAAGAGAAGGAGGAGAAGATCCGAGATCAGAGCCCTTCTAGACGCTATACCCACACCGACCTCCAGTAAAAGTCAGACAGTCCAGACAGGGCAACCAGACACCAATCAAAGGGAAGGCACCAGTTGTTCGTGCACCACCACCACCATACCGGGGACCGTCGACCTGCTTCCGATACCAGCAACCCGGACACTTTGTGGTCAATTGCACGGCAAATATAGAGGCATTGCCAGTGGCTAGAGCGCCACAACCACCGCCGAGGACTGGAGCAGTCCCGAGGGTTTATGCCCTTGCACTGAGGCAGAGGCCCAAGAGGAGGAGGTCGATCCCAAAGAGGAGGAAGCTGCTGCTATCGCAGATGCCCTTCACCTTTTTGGTATTGAGTGTTATACATTGTTTGATACTGGAGCTACCCACAGTTTCTTGAGCTTAGAAAAGGCCAAGAAACTAGGCATGGAGCGAGCTGATTTGAGCGGCGATTTCATGGTTCGCATGCCATCAGG